CCTGCCTTGCCATGGCCTGGCTGCCAACCTCCCAGCTGGCTCTTGCCCCTGCCGCAGGCCCCACGGCACTGCCTCCCAGTCCCCCGGGCAGTGGAGCATCCAGATGGCAGCCCTGTGACCAGGGTTCAGCTGAACCTCCGAGCAACAGCCCGCTGTTGGACTTGAGCCCTGCCGGGCAGTCTCGCTACTTCCCAGCAATTCTGAGCAGCTCTGCCAGGTGGCAGGGGACTGCCAGGCTCCTGGCTGCACTGCCAGTTGGTAACCTTGTTCCCAAGTTTCTGCCCCCACTGCTGAGCAGCTCAGCTGTTGAGCTCCCAGTACTGCCGCAGCCTCCCACTCCCACTGGGAAGTTGCACTGCTGGGCAGCAGTGGGGCTGCCCAGCTTTTGTTTTTGCCATCAGGTGGCAGCCCCATTGCTAGGCTCCCAGCTCTGCTGTCAGGCTCCTGACCCAAGTGTCGGTCAGCCCCACTGCCTTCTGGCCCTGCTGGGAAGACGCACTGTCAGGTGGCAGCCCCACTGCCAGGCTCCGAGTTTGCTGCAGGCCTTCCAGTCACTAGACCTCCACAGGGACTCTGGAGCTGGAATAGTTGCCAGACCAGACGGTCAGTTTGGAGAGGTTAAGCATGTATTAGGATAACACTGTTAACCTTTATCAACCATACTTTTTAATCTCATTAAAAAAGTTACATCGGTATGACAGGATCTATTTTCCAGAAGCCTGTGTTGATTTTCATTAATTACATTACTCTCTTTTAGTTCTTCATTAATCAAGACCTTATCAGCCACTCCACTATTTTACCTGGGACAGATATCAGGCAGACAGTCAGAGGATTACCCAGGTTGTCATGTCTACACATCTTAAATATTAACTGCTTTCTAAGACTTATTAGAAATCAGCAGTAATAGCTCAGCCATCTTTTTTTAAAATCCTTCAATGCAAGATTTAAAAATACCTAATTTGAGTAGCATGTTTACCATCTTCCAGAGAGACCAGTGAAATGGAAAGAGTATTATCATCACCATGGGATGATAGTATATCAGCTGTTATTTTCCCTAATATAGAACAGATATATTTAGTGGCTTTCTGGCTTTTCATCATCACTGTAGATTATTCTACTATGTCCATCTCGTAATGACCAATGCTATTGTCAGGGTTCTTTTTATTCCTCATATATTTAAAATACTCCATTATCCTTATCTTTGCTAGCTAAAAATTTGTGCAGGTGTCGCTTGGCTTTTCTTATTCTTCCACAGTTACTGACTTCTAATTTATATCCAATATTATGCTTCTCCATTTGTTAGGTATTACTGTGTTTTAGTCTTTGTCTTTTTTTTAAACTTTACAGCTGCTTTCACTTTCCCTCTAAACCCATTTTTTAAAACCGGCACAGCCTTATTCCTCAGTTATGGATTGGGGCTTTTTAGACATCTAGTAATCTGTTCTTAAGTGAGTCCCAATTATCATTTATATGTTTCTGATTAAATCTTTCCCCCCCCCCCGTTTGTCAGCTTTTCTGAAATGGGTCACATTAAAGTACCCAGGAGATATATTAGCTGTCTGGATTTTATTCTGGATGCACATGATAAATATGATAGAATCATGATTACTTGTGCCGCAGCTACAATTAGCTAAATTGGGGTGAGGAACCTAATGCTGAGGGGCTGGATGGAGCCTCTGGCTTGCCTAGATCCATCCCTGAAACTCAGGGCTACCCCCAGCATTTGGGAGCCCTGGCTGGTGTGGGATGGGTTTTTTTTGTTTTGTTTTTTTTGTTTTTGTTTCTCTCTTGTGTGTAGTCCTTGATTGATTTTTCTGTGGATTAGTGGCCCCCGACCCAAAAAAGGTTCCCCACCCCTCAACTAGATCAACCAAGGAGCACATTAAGATTTATAACTTCCACATAGTCATATAACCTTAACATAAACACCAGATTTTTACAAACTTGCTCTCCCTTGCCTGTTTTGAGCATATTAGATAGTGCGATAGTCTCTTGGCTGCCTTTTATTGCCTCAATGTTGATTTACTGCAGAACTCTATCTTTCAGGCAGACCTGGCTACTACATTTTACAGTCATAGACTTTCAGGTTTAATTAGATTTTTGTTACATCACATATAACTGATGTTCAGAAGTGTATTGGGGCCAGTCTTGCAAGGTACTGAGGACTCTCAATCTAATCCAGCAAAGCAATTAAGCACACACTGACCTGTATATATTTGTAGTGCCATAAAGACTTTTTTGACATATATTTTCTTTATGTTTACAGCACTATGTGCAATTTCCAAGTCACTCTACAAATGGAGTCATGCAAGCAGAGTATGAAAATGTTGGAATAAAAGATATTAGAAAACTTAACTGTTTATCTTGGAAGAAATAATTACAATGTATTAGTCTAGTTTAATTACTATGGTAATTTAAGTGACTCGTGTGTTTTTACTGTAATTATAATGTCACTAAAGCTGTAAATCCTGTAGAAGAAAAAACAGTGAACACTGCCTTATTGAAGCAGCTGTGCAGGCTATTATTGTGCACATAGCATTAGAAAGCAATGTGATTTCATCAATGTAGCTTTTAAACTTGTATTTTATTATTTCTGTATAATGATTCACAATATGACGTAGGATCAGAGGAATTGTTCAAGAAGTTCCGACGAGAGACCCATCTACTCTGCTATCAGAACAGAGGCCAATAGCTGAGATTTCAGAGGAATCCTCAAAACAGACAATTATGCAATAACCAAGCTCATTGAGGACATTTTTTCTTAACCTTGTCAGCTAGTAATTGGTTTGCCCTAATGCATCTGCGTTTAACACTGCAGCTGCTTGGATTCTGTGATACCTTGTGGCAGTGGCCATATATTTAAATGCATTGAGTTTAAAAGAAAAATAAATCCTTTGTTTTGCATGCTAAGCACCACAGACTGATTGCAATGGGAATATCGGCCTGGTTGCTATAATAGGGCAGAACCAGATTTGTCAGTCACTGGCATCAGGGAATGTCCCATCCCTGGATGTGTCTACCTGTTTTCTCTCTATCTGGTGGCTCCGCTAGACTTCCCTGCTCAAAGCCAAACAATATATACAAATTCTGACTAGCAAATGCACTCAGTAATGTGTCCATCTAACATTTTCCCAGTGCTGTGTTTGCCTTTTGCCAGCTCTGCTTCCTCTTCTGGGCATTGGCACCAGCTTGTCTCCTTGCAGGCTCTATAGGCAAAGTGCAATTTATCCCTCTGCTCAATCTGAATCATGTTACCCCTGCCCCATAGCAGGAGAGGAGGGAGGCAGAATTGGACAAGCTGCCTCTCCTGGGTAAGATTCAGGCACCATCTTAAGAGCCCAGGCTGCGCAGGGTTGTCAGCCCACTTCTCCCAGCTGTAAAGGAGGCAGGCAAGACTGGAAAAGCTGTTCTAGAGGCTATCAGCCCTCCTCACCCATCTGAATGAGGGGAGTTGTCTTTTAACTTCCTTAATGAGTGATTTTTGTCCAAAGCTTATTGAAAATCTAAATATATTATATTTACAAATTCTCTCTTATCCATTTGTAATCCATTGTAATCTCTTTTATCCAGTTGTAAGAATTAGTAGAGTAGATTGCAGAGGCTCAAAATTTTCTTTTACCGAAGGGTGTGTCTAGACTACAGAGTTTTGTCAACAAAAGTGAACTTTTGTCGACAAAACTATACCTGCGTCTACACTACCGCTGAGTTCTGTCGACATAACGTCGACAGAACTCAGCAGTTTTGTCGACGCTGGTAAACCTCATTTTACGAGGCATAACACCTTTTGTCGACAGAGTTCTGTCGACAGAAGGTGTTATTGCATCTAGGGGTATGTCTAGACTACAGGCTTTTGTCGACAAAGCAGCTTGCTTTGTCGACAGAACTGAATGTAGTCTAGACGCTCTTTGTCGACAGACAGTATCTGTCGACAAAACTTCTGTTGACAAAACCCTGTAGTCTAGATGTACCCGAAGTGTAGGCTCTTTTGAGGGGCTAGTGAAATTTCAGTACCCTGGGTATGTTCCAGTTGGAGGTAGAAATTGATGGAGTGTGATATTCTCTTGGATGCGACCTTGTTAATCTAAAAAGATGTATGATATTTTGCTTCTCCAAATGCAGGAGGAACCAAGATCAAAAAGAGAAATTTCTTGCTCTTTAGGTCACCGACCCAAAGGCGCTCTCTCACTTTTCCAGGGTCACATTGTGTTCACAGGCTACTGATTGGGTTTCTTGCAGTTTACCTCTGTCTTTCCCTCTTTTCTTCTCTGTTGTTAGTTTTTCTGTTTTTTCTAAGCCATCTCTACACACTTTCCTCCAAATGGATCGATATCCAGTGGAGCCATGGGTCTAGTTCTAGGTAGACCTAATAGGGTTTGTTTTAGGTGTGACAGCTTAATTGCTTCTTACAACTATCTTAAATAAAGGGCCTGTGCACACATCAGTTTGAACAAGCTTTTAACTCAATCCATAATAAGGTGTCACCCTGCCTTTCTCCCAATGTTATGTTTATCTGCATGTGTCCAAAGTTCTCTTTAATTACTGTTTCCAATTTACCTAATATGTCATTGGTATTTCTACAATGACCTTGAATCACTTCATGCATTCAATTTTAAAGATATTCACATGATTTTCTACCTCCTATTCTACTGAATTCTAGCTGTTTTAATATGAAATTCCATATTCTAGCATCCTTTCTTTCTGGCTCTTAAGTTTCTGACCATACTTTAGCTTTATTTGCACTTGATTTTCATTTAAGCGTGTAAAGGTACTTTCTGAACTCTAGTATATTCCAGTGCAAATGCAAATCTTGATAACTTCTGAAAACGTTATTGTAACCAAGTTCTGATACTTATTTAATCATGCCAGTAATGACATGGTTGTAATTTCAATATAAAAATATAAGAAAAAATAATTTTATTATTAAAGAAAACTTTATGTAAGACTTTTATAGAACATTTTCTTCTACGTTTAATTTACGGTCCTTTTATTTTCAATATTAGTGCTCTACAGAACACTACTAAGGAACGTGGAATTGTTATCACTCGTTCAACATATCCCTCTAGTGGCAAATGGGCTGGACACTGGCTTGGCGATAACACTGCAGCTTGGGATCAGCTTTATAAATCTATAATTGGTATGTGGAAGCAATAGGATTTACAGTCAATTGATCCTATGCAGTAATGTATTCTGGACACTTTTGTGTTTTTTACTTCCTTTACTAGGCTTAGATCAAAAAAAATGTATTTGTAGGCAATACAAGCTGCTTAGTTCAGCAAAATCAGCACTCGTGTTTTAATTGCTTGTTTTTTAACATTCTTTTAATGGCTGCTAAGCAACTCTTTAAAACTGATATGCTTCCAAAATAGTCATTGGTCTTGACCCTGGGCATATTCTCTACTCCCACGGAAGTCAGCTCCCCTTTCCTTCACAAAATACCCACCCACTACTTTTGGTTCTTCCATCTTGATCTTGGGCCCCATAGATTCTCTTTAGCTCTCTCTTTCTGTCTCTCTCTCTGTCTCCCCTCTCCCTCACCACATTTTCCCTTTCATCTGCCCTTATATGCTTCTGCTGCCAGCTGTCAGGAACTTAAGAGTCTCCCCTCTTCCTCACCACATTTTCCCTTTCATCTGTCCTTATATGCTTCTGCTGCCAGCTGTCAGGAACTTAAGAGGGGAAGAAGAACAATATATTAGAGAAACTATAGAAATAGCAATTAATAAAGTCACCTTACTTTTCTTGCAGGTATGATGGAATTTAGCCTCTTTGGAATATCCTATGTAAGTTAATGTTGTCACGATATGTTTGAAGTATCATTAGCTAACTTCAGTAATATACAGAATTCAAATATACTCTTTTTAAACTTTCAGACTGGAGCAGATATTTGTGGCTTCTTCAATGATGCAGATTATTATATGTGTGCCCGTTGGATGCAGCTGGGAGCATTTTACCCATTTTCCAGAAATCATAATGGTGCAGGTGCAAAGGTGGGTTATAGATTATCAGTAATGTACTCAAGTGTATGTAAGACATGAACAGCCCCAAACTTGAAAAATTCACGATCTAAGGAAAACAGATTAAAAAAGTAGAGAAGGCACACTATGAAAGAATGTTTGCTTGTCTGATTGATTGATTGATTGATTGTAAATGCTTTCATCATTATTAACTCACTTATCAGAGGAGAAGGAATTCTAGCTTTGCTAGTATTTGCATTCTGTTTGCCTGTGCATTTCATTTTCAGATGTGTTATCTGGGAAGTTGAAGCTAGACAAATTCAACTAAGAAATTAAGTGCACTTTGTAAACAATGAATGTAACTAACCACTGGAACAACTTATCAAGTGGTGTGATGGATTCTCTCTCACAAAGTTTTTAAACAGAGATTAGAATTTGCCCCTCTGGAAGATATGCTCTAGTTCAAAAGAAGTCCTATGGCCTGAGTTATATAGGATGTCAGATTATATGATCACAGTAGTTCCTTTGAGCCTTGTATTCTCTAGTATGGCCTCTCATCCCAATTCTTGTTCCTGTGAACTCCCTGTGACCATTCATGAAGCTGTCAACCCATATTTTTGGGTGCATTTTGCAACAAGATTCGGCTAGGAAAAACTAAGTCTATTTGAATATAACCCTTTTAGAAATTCATGTTTTGCAGACTGGTTCTGACCCATATTTTTGACCTTGCTTTCAACTGATCCTGGAAGATTTTGTGCAACTCTACCACTTTAAAAAGTCTCAGAGAGATACCCATGTTAGTCTGTAACATTAGAGGGTGTGCTATTGTATGAGCCCCTGATGTTGTGGCTTCTGTGGTTAGGTCCCATGATGGTGTTGCTTGCATAGATATGTGGACAGAGTTGGCTATAGGGTTTGTGGCAGGGTTAGGTTACTGAGGGTATGTCTACACTACAAAGTTAGTTCGAACTAACGGATGTTAGCTCGAACTAACTTTCATAGGCGCTACACTAGCGCTCCGTTAGTTTGAATTTAATTCGAACTAACAGAGCGCTAGTGTAGCACCTATGAAAGTTAGTTCGAGCTAACATCCGTTAGTTCGAACTAACTTTCATAGGCGCTACACTAGCGCTCCGTTAGTTTGAATTTAATTCGAACTAACAGAGCGCTAGTGTAGCACCTATGAAAGTTAGTTCGAGCTAACATCCGTTAGTTCGAACTAACTTTCATAGGCGCTACACTAGCGCTCCGTTAGTTTGAATTTAATTCGAACTAACAGAGCGCTAGTGTAGCACCTATGAAAGTTAGTTCGAGCTAACATCCGTTAGTTCGAACTAACTTTCATAGGCGCTACACTAGCGCTCCGTTAGTTTGAATTTAATTCGAACTAACAGAGCGCTAGTGTAGCACCTATGAAAGTTAGTTCGAGCTAACATCCGTTAGTTCGAACTAACTTTCATAGGCGCTACACTAGCGCTCCGTTAGTTTGAATTTAATTCGAACTAACAGAGCGCTAGTGTAGCACCTATGAAAGTTAGTTCGAGCTAACATCCGTTAGTTCGAACTAACTTTCATAGGCGCTACACTAGCGCTCCGTTAGTTTGAATTTAATTCGAACTAACAGAGCGCTAGTGTAGCACCTATGAAAGTTAGTTCGAGCTAACATCCGTTAGTTCGAACTAACTTTCATAGGCGCTACACTAGCGCTCCGTTAGTTTGAATTTAATTCGAACTAACAGAGCGCTAGTGTAGCACCTATGAAAGTTAGTTCGAGCTAACATCCGTTAGTTCGAACTAACTTTCATAGGCGCTACACTAGCGCTCCGTTAGTTTGAATTTAATTCGAACTAACAGAGCGCTAGTGTAGCACCTATGAAAGTTAGTTCGAGCTAACATCCGTTAGTTCGAACTAACTTTCATAGGCGCTACACTAGCGCTCCGTTAGTTTGAATTTAATTCGAACTAACAGAGCGCTAGTGTAGCACCTATGAAAGTTAGTTCGAGCTAACATCCGTTAGTTCGAACTAACTTTCATAGGCGCTACACTAGCGCTCCGTTAGTTTGAATTTAATTCGAACTAACAGAGCGCTAGTGTAGCACCTATGAAAGTTAGTTCGAGCTAACATCCGTTAGTTCGAACTAACTTTCATAGGCGCTACACTAGCGCTCCGTTAGTTTGAATTTAATTCGAACTAACAGAGCGCTAGTGTAGCACCTATGAAAGTTAGTTCGAGCTAACATCCGTTAGTTCGAACTAACTTTCATAGGCGCTACACTAGCGCTCCGTTAGTTTGAATTTAATTCGAACTAACAGAGCGCTAGTGTAGCACCTATGAAAGTTAGTTCGAGCTAACATCCGTTAGTTCGAACTAACTTTCATAGGCGCTACACTAGCGCTCCGTTAGTTTGAATTTAATTCGAACTAACAGAGCGCTAGTGTAGCACCTATGAAAGTTAGTTCGAGCTAACATCCGTTAGTTCGAACTAACTTTCATAGGCGCTACACTAGCGCTCCGTTAGTTTGAATTTAATTCGAACTAACAGAGCGCTAGTGTAGCACCTATGAAAGTTAGTTCGAGCTAACATCCGTTAGTTCGAACTAACTTTGTAGTGTAGACATACCCTGTGTGAGTGTATCTGAAGCATGGTATGTAGCTGCTGGTGAGTATTTGCTTCAGATTAGGGGGTTTTCTGTAAGCAATGGTTGTTAGTTCGAATTAAATTCGAACTAACAGAGCGCTAGTGTAGCACCTATGAAAGTTAGTTCGAACTAACATCCGTTAGTTCGAACTAACTTTGTAGTGTAGACATACCCTGTGTGAGTGTATCTGAAGCATGGTATGTAGCTGCTGGTGAGTATTTACTTCAGATTAGGGGGTTTTCTGTAGGCAATGGTTGGCCTGTTTCACAAGGTCTGTGAGAGTGAAGGCTCATTTTCTAGGATAGGTTGTCAGTGATGCACTAGAGGAGTTTAAGCTGTTAATTTAGTTCTGTTTTTCTTCCTCCTTGGGTTCACCCTTCAAAACCCAGTGATTCTGGCAATCAGAACTTTGGTGTTTAAAGTTAGCTGTACTGGGACATTGCTGTAGGGATACAGCAAGACAGTCTCTTAATTGCAACACATGAAACTTGTTTCACTATGACTGAAATTGAACAGTGTGCATGGTACTCTCATGTGTCAGCTATAGCTCCTTTGCTCATAGAGCGGTGAGGAGTCCTGTGGCACCTTATAAACTAACTGACGTGTAGGAGCATAAGCTTTTGCAGATTCTGACTAACACGGCTACCCCTCTTGATACTTGTGCTCATAGAGTTATTGAACCCTAGGGCTGCTATATAGTGTTTTCACTGCCACCTTGAATAGAGTCTTGGCCAAGAAAGAATAACTTTAAACTGTCCTGGCATTGCTGCAAAGTGGATGTAACCATCCTGGCTCCCTAGTCCTAGGTATGCCCCTCACCACATATAGGTTTTACACCAATAAAGGGCCTGCTTGTAAGTTATGGCAATGGGAACCAGCCTATTTAGGACTGAAGCAAGCTCAGATATATTTTTACTTTCATGCCTTTAAAAAAAATCTGCACCTACAATGCTCAAGTAAAGTTTCTGTTTTGTTTAGTTGGTTGCTTGTTTTTTCCTCTCTAAAGTACACTTAATTCAGTAAAAATGACCCTAGTAGTTCATCCCCTAGTAGTTTGCAAGTAGAGAACAAATAAAAAAATGGAATAGTTTAATAAGATTGTAGAGCGACTGTGCAAAGTTATTTTACTTTCCATATTTTGTATCCATCAGCTACTGTATTTCATTAAAGAATAAAAAACAAAATAATTATCTAAGGAATATGTATTGTTGAAAGCTGTAAAACAAGATAACTGGGAAAACAAAAAAAATAGAAACAGTTCTTCTTTTCTAGTTAGAGCTGCAGGTCTCGCAGAGTTGAGCTATTTATATGGCATATATCTAGTGGATTAAAGTCTCCTTTTTAAAAACAGCATGCTTTATCTTGCAGCAGCACACCTTTCAATGGGCCTTTTAAAGCCTTTAAAATACAGATTGAGGGTTATCATGTTTCTTCCATTCTTACCCAATTTGCCAAGGTATTGTTCAGTATGTTTAATAAATATTGAAAGTGCTCTCTGACATCACTCATTAGTGCTCTTTTTACTTTTTGAAAGTTCTGATATGATGTGTCATGCATTCAATGGAGTTTGTATTAAACTTCCCCTTCTTGCCCCCACACTAGGGTTTTCAAGCCTTCCTTCTAAGCTCCCCTAGTTAGGGCCCACAGTGACACCTGCTGTTATGAAAAGCCAAGTGGTTGAGGGAGAAAAATTTCATTACGTAGTCCCTTAAAGGTGTTTTCAACTATTAATAATTCCTTATGTGGATTTTGATTCATATAGTCAATTGTTGATGCTACTATTACACAGATAATAGGAATTTACAATAAACATATAATGTAAACTTAGGAAACATGCATATTAGTCCATATGTAAATAGTATCAATTATCTCAAACCATTTTATTTCTTCAATTAAAAAACCCCCCAACACGTTATAGCTTAAATCAAGGAAATATCTACAATGTAAGTTTGTTGAAAAAAACATTAATGGTAATGTTTTCCAGAGAACTTTTCAACTAAATTTCATGTTGGCAGTGAATTATTAATAGCTAATTTACAACTCCCTCCAAAAATAAGTTGTCAGTGAAAAAGTTCACAGAATCAAAAATAGAGCCATTCTCTCAGTTCTACCACAATACAAACACTACAAATATCATTGTAAGTGATTGTGCAATAGATGTTTTTATTCATAATTTTGCTTTTGATGTAAAATCTGGATATACATCAATATAGATACAACTGGAGGTTATAATAATTATAATTTAAACATAATAAATTCCATGAGGAGTCAGTTTCTCTCACTTCCTGGTGAAGGTCACTGCAATCATTTCCATCATGCAGGGCCAAACTTTCCAACTGTCAGGGAGTCAGGAATGCATCATTTAGGGTTTTCAGAAAATGCTGTCGTACCTTAGAGGATCAGGACCATAATGTACTTCTAAAATTAAATACATGAATAATTAACAACAAGGAAGAAAGGTGAAAGTGGTATGAGAGTCTCTGGTTTCAGTAACAGTTTCTTTCCATTTTTAGAGGCAAGATCCTGTTGCCTTTGACGAAAAATTTGAAAATATTTCCAGAGATGTACTCAATACAAGATACACACTGTTACCCTATCTCTACACCTTAATGTATCAAGCCCATGTTCATGGTAGCACTGTAGTGCGTCCTCTCCTCCATGAGTAAGTATGAAGTGTTCAGTTTGACAACTATTTGTTTTTTAGCTTAAACTCAGGAGTTTCCTTTAGCTCTTTTTTTATAAGAATGTTTATTCTAGTATGCCAGGATATTTGGTTTCCAATTTTTTCCAATATGTAATCTCACATATTCAGAGGTAGCTTTTGAAGGTGCTAAATTACATTCCCTCTCAATTCCTATAGAAAGTGTCAGCAACTCATAGGATTGGGTCCATTTCCAAAATTATGTTCACAATAAACTCTTGTTTTTACAACCCTCCCAAGATTCTTTCATTCATTGTTATCTATTCCTCTTCCTATTCCTTGTAATCTATAGTGAGTTCCCTCTGTCTCTTCATGCCATCTCGCAGGTAGGGTCTACCATAATTCTGCTGCGGGTGGAGTCTTCATCTTTATTTCACCAAAAACCCTTTATAGCTTTCCTGTTTTTCCTTCTCATAAACTCTGTCTTAATTTAAATCTCAGCTCCTTAAGTCAGGCAAGAGCTTGTTATTTGACTTTATACAAAACTCAACATTTGTGTCTCTGTGTAATGTTTGTCCCAGTTTTAAGAGCCAGCTTTCCTGAGTTGATGGGTGTTCTGTCTCCTTTTGAGGGTGAACACACATAGAATTAAAATATATATATATTGCAAAAGGATCCAAGAACAAAATAAACAAGGAGGCTTTGGCCATAGTTAAATCTTTGTAATCTTTTATTATTGTGCTGTTGTGTAGATATAAGAAAGGAATCTGACTCAGAATTCTTGTATTTTCAAATGGTTAGTAATTTTGTATACCTCAGTTTTGGATGCTCAGCTTGAGAAATTTTAAAAATATCTAGTTTTCAAAGGGTTGGTACTCAGTCCTTTCTGAAAATTAGGGTTGTTTAAGGTATCTCAAGGTAGGGATGGTTTTCACTATGGGGAGATCGATTCTGCTGCAATCGATGCACTGAGTGTCAGTTTAGTGGATCTAGTGAAGATCCACTATATTGATGGCAGTATGCTCTCTAGTTGACGCCGGTATTCCAGCTCCCCGAGAAGATTAAGGTAAGTCACCAGAAAGCGTCATCTATTGAAGTAGCACAGTTAAGAGTCAACCTAAGCTACGTCAACTCCAATGGTGTTATTTCCATAGCTGGAGCAGCATAACTTACGTCGACTTACCCCAGTAGTGAAGACAAGTATGTAAATATCTGAAAAACCCAGTCTAGTATTTACATCCTAAATTGCACCAGTTTAACAAAAAATGTGATTTTAAACAGATTTTGCTAAAATTGTCCATACACACAATTAAATTGATTTAAATCCATAGCATTTGCCTTTAAGATTACAGGTTCAAGCTAACCCAATATGATTTTCAAACTGACATATCTGTGACCACACAGAGATTTGAATGATTTGACTACTGGTTTGCATGGTTTAGCAACTTCTGTGTGTAGTCAAGTCACTGTGATCTGAAAATTATCTCTATGACTATTAAAAACTAGCCAATTAGCCCGTCATAAGACGGGATTTTCTTCTCTCTCTCTCTCCATGGCGAGAGGCAAAGTGGGGTGTGAAGAGAGGTGAGGTGGTGACATACATGGCTGGGCCCTGCCCTCTGGCCATCTACATCACCACCCCGCCTCCCTTCACCTCCCTGTGGCACTTGGCTGACTTCTGCGCCTCTCAACCGGGCTACTTGAGATCGTGGCACCCGAACGGCCGCTTGCACCTCTCGCTCCCCCACTGCGGCCCGGCTGAGCAGTGCAGAAGTCAGCCGAGCACCACAGTGGGAGGCGAAGGACGTGACTCAGGCAACAGAGGTGCCCAGAGGGAACAGCCAAGGAGGCAACAGCGGCGCCCAGAGGGAACAGCCAGCATTTCAGCATTACAGAATCACAGACATTGGGCTACTATATATATGATGATCATCAAATTATAATTCCTCAAATTCACCATTTTAATTTCTAAAGGGCTTATATGAGATTAATAGATGTTATAATATGATACAGATATGAGTTATACTATAACAAATGATAAGACATATAACAGTATAAAGTTTTACAGATTTTAAGCAGCCTATTGATATCTTGAACTCTATACACATTTTAAACAGTTTAACGTTTATTAAGCAACTGTTAATGATTCTGTAACTCTTTATTAACCATAATCAATATGAATTGTGTGACCAATAAACCATTATATTAAAGTGAATGGTGATTGATTTAACTATTCAAATTGCATATCTTATTTTGATTGAATTTTGAAATAGTCTACACAGCACCAAATTTCAAAATAACGTGCTATTGCAACACATCCTTTAACCCTCGTGGAACAAGGGTTACCAGGATACCGATATAATGCATCCGTTATTTCGAAAAATATTTTGAAATGACGAGTAGCTTGTTAAGATGAGGGGTAGCTATTTCAGGATTTTTCTGGTATTCCGAAATAGCCGTTCAGTGTCGATATACCCTTACTTTTAATTCAGACAGCATCCCATCTTTATAAAGGTTTAAAAATAATAGGGCTGGACTGTAATCACGTTATTCCTTTTGGTGATTATAACTCATTTGAGTAACTCAGGGTACATCTAGACTGAAGGCTTCTTTTGAAAGAAGCTTTTTCGGAAGAGAACTTCTGAAAAAACTCCTTTAGAAAGAGCACGTCTACACTGCAAAAGCACATTGAAAAAGCGATGCGCTTTTTCAAAAGATAGTGTTCAGACTGCCTGGATGCTATCTCACATGTAAGCAGTGATTGCTATGGATGGAGTGGCTACCAGGGCACCTGTGCTTTTTCCTCTTTCCTCTTCTTTAAAAAAAACTCCCTCTTCCAAGTCCACACATGCCTTTTTCTGAAAGAGCTCTTTCGGAAAAGGTGTTCTTCCTCATAGATTGAGGTTTACCAACAATGGAAAACCCCCTTTGTACTTTCGATTTTCTATAGAAAGAATTAAATTGCAATGTGGATGCAGATGAAGTTTTTTCCTAAAAACGGCCGTTTTTCAGAAAAACCCCTGTAGTCTAGACACACCCTCATTGTCTTCAGAAGGACTATTTTTGTAAGTATCTGTACAACATTCTGAGGAAGGAATTCTCAATCTGGTTCCTAGATTGTGCAAATGTATAAGGATTTAAAAATGGAAGTGACTAGGAGTGGACCTTTTTAGTGTCATGATCTAAACTGGATAAAAAGCAAAAGTAAATAAACTATATATGAATAGTGGTACCTTGCACTTCTATAATCTCTATAAATTAGATGTTAACAATGGTCCAGTTTTAATAATCTGAATTATTTAAAAAAGTAACATAAATAAGGTTGGAGTGTGTCTGGTATAGTAGATAATATTTTTAACTTCACAGTGTGCTTTTAAAAGGAAACTCTTATAGAAAGATTGATAACATATTCATGGTAATGATTTTATTGCTCTAAGGTTTGTGGAAGACCAAACAACATGGGATATATATAGACAATTTCTGTGGGGACCTGCGCTGCTCATTAGCCCGGTTCTGGAGGTAAATTTGTAGATATTTAATTACATATGAGAATACTTTAAAATAATTTTATATATACCTCTTTTTTTTTTTTTTGCTTTATTGGACATAACATGTATGTTCTTCAATTCCAGAATGCTACTTCAGTGTTGGCTTATATACCCAATGCACGCTGGTATGATTATTACACTGTAAGTAATATAAATGTTTTCTATTGACCTTCTTGCTAATAGCAAAAACTATTAGCAGAATAGTCTGCCAAAGGTTGTGGTGGACTTCTTCACTTTGTGTGTTTAAATACAATTTCACACCATATTTTATTCATATTTTTCACATAAACAACATCCCTAAGCATTTTTTATAGACTGGGAGAATTAAATGGAAGAAAACCATGTTTAGCAAAGAGAGGAGTACGAAGACTGTGAAAGTTGGCAAGAGATATAGACTTGAAAATCATCAACAGAATTATAGCAGCACATAGTTGTGAGATTATGTGGAATGATAGAGGGGAGCCCACTGATAGTTGAAAAGCTGCAGGAAGGGGGTGACAAGGTGGATGAGACAGGATATGGAGGGTTTTAAAAACAAGGTTTTGTTGGGAAATGAAATCATTTTGGAAATAAAGCTCTAAATCTTGGTTTCAATTCAATGAGCTACTAAGCATCAATAGGAATTGAGGATACCTAGCACCCTCAAGCTGCCCCTGAAGATGCCAAGATAGGAGTGGGGATTTCAAGACACTAGGTTCCCCTGTAGAGAGATGAAGGAACTTGTGTTTGGAGTTAGGAAGACTGTGGTCTGACCTGAATTTTTCTGTCAGATTCTTTCAAGCTATTGACTTAGTGTCAGGCTTCCCTAGGGAGTGGGGGGCGGGAGTGGGAAGAGTGCAACTGCCCTGGGGTCCAGTGATTTTAAAAGGACCTGGGGCTCTTGGCTACCACCACTACTGACAGAGTACTGTGCGCACCGGGTGGCTCTAAGGGCTAAGGGGGATTGCCATGGTCTGGTGGTACTGAAGGCTGGGTGGGACTGGCTTTGTTCACTTGCTGCTCCTGCCCTGCCCCTTCTTTTCCTTTAAGGAGCACAGAGTTGAGCCTCCCCCACCTTGCCCATGTACCCAGCATGACTGTCGGCACCCCTACTTAGTGTAACACCTAACCTCTACTTATGAGTGAACTAAATGGTCAAGTGTTGGAATGTCATAAAACACCTTTAACCCTGAAACACCATCTCTTGACTTTTAATCCCTGAAATATTCTGTCTGAGGTATTTGGCAAGAGAGCAGAAGGGGGGCAGCTTTAGCTGCATGTGCCTTCTGTAGAAATGGAGAAAAGCCTGGGGAGAAAAGCTGGAGGGAGGAGTAGGCAGCCAAAAAAAAAAGGCACTGAAATTATAATCACTTTGTGGTTTGGTTCCTTAAAGGCACCAAAATTATAGTCGTGGTTTAGTTCCTTGAGCTGTGCCCCACTTTATTGAAGCTGCAGTCTGGTTTTTTTAAATGTTCATTCCATATTTTGAAGAAGAACATGAAAATGACAGTGTAGTTATGCATGTAAATCAATATTTCTGTGGAAAAAAAGTAATTAACATATTTAGGATCTCCTTCCTTATTCATTTACATTAGTATGAATTAGATGTAACTCAGTTGAAATCAATTATTTTTATTTATAGGATGAGTATATTAAATTCAGGAGAGAGTTCCGCAATCTATCCACTCCTCTTGAGCATATCAACCTTCATATTCGTGGAGGCTACATCATCCCATGGCAGGACCCTGCTAATAATACATTTTACAGGTAATATGAAATGACTGTATATACTCAACAATAATCATTATTTTTTTGGTAAAAATGACACAGTAAAGAGCGGGGGTTGGCTTATGAATGAGTTATTGTGTTTTACCAATTTTTTTCTTATCTTGGAAGTGGGGGTTGGCAAACTTCAGTTCCCAGCCCAACAGGCAAATTGCTGGTGCGCCAGGACATTTTATGATCCTGGAGTGCCCTCAGGCATGGTTAGTGGTTTGGAATATTAAAGACCCAGTGAAATTTGCAAACTGCCGATATAAAGTCGGCTTCTGAATAGGTCATTGCAATTTTTTTAATTGGGGGGGGGGGGCGGCTTATAAACAAATGGGGTTATGATTGAGTATATATACAGGCAAATTGCTGGTGCGCCAGGACATTTTATGATCCTGGAGTGCCCTCAGGCATGGATTCCCTCAGCTCCCAGTGGCTGTTGTTCACAGTTCCAAGTCAACAGGAGTGGCGGGAAAGTGCCAGCTAGCATGTCCCTTGTCTGTGCTGTTTCCTGCACCTCTCATTGGCTGGGCAAAGTGACCAGTAGTCAGTGGGAGCGGGGAGGGTCTTGGGCCCCAAATGCTCCCACTCCAGGTAAACAAAACATCACGATGAGCCAACAACTTACTCTGACAAGCTGGAACTGGAAATTTGCAAACTGCCGATATAAAGTCGGCTTCTGAATAGGTCATTGCAATTTTTTTAATTGGGGGGGAGGGCTGCTTGTAAACAAATGGGGTTATGATTGAGTATATATGGACTGGAAAAGTTAAAACTGGTTTTATTTTTAATGGTAGCTCTTTCAAAGCTGCTTAGTGGTTTGGAATATTAAAGACCCAGTTAAAATGAACTAGAGATTGCAGGTGAAGCATAAGATAAATTTGATTTATCATATGCTTTCTGAAAATAAGGAGGAGGGCTGCTTGTAAACAAATGGGGTTATGATTGAGTATATATGGACTGGAAAAGTTAAAACTGGTTTTATTTTTAATGGTAGCTCTTTCAAAGCTGCTTAGTGGTTTGGAATATTAAAGACCCAGTTAAAATGAACTAGAGATTGCAGGTGAAGCATAAGATAAATTTGATTTATCATATGCTTTCTGAAAATAAGGACAACAGAAGAAGTGTGCCAATATGGTCAAGGAATGTTCCTTTTATATCTTAAGTAGTTATGACTCTGAGGAAATAGACAAAGAATAATGTGTTTGCTGACCATTTTTGTTTTGTAGCCGACAAAACTCTATGGGACTTACTGTTGCTTTAGATGATAATGGGTTCGCTCAAGGTCAGCTATACTGGGATGATGGGAGCAGCATTGGTAAGTTTCAATAGTAAATCAAAGTGAGAAAATCTACTTAAATCAACAGTAAAGTTTCCTAAATTGTATAACTTTTTCTTCCTTCTTGGTGCTGATGATTTCTACACTTTTTTAGTTTTGAATGTACACACTGTCATTTTTATAAAGTATTTGATATGTTGTAAATAACTATCAGCATATACACCAAGTTTGGGAACACTTACATGTGCATAGTACTGTTGTGTTCAATGGGACTATACATGTGAATGAATGTACCATATATAAATTCTAAGGTCCTGTTAATGCTGACCTATACCATGCATATATGAAAACCTGAACCTGCCTGGAGCCCTGCAAAAGACAAGAGAATTCCATATAAGCATAGGGGTTCCTCCCACATGTATGCGATGATTTTCAGGTTCAGCATCCACAGCTGGAAAGCTCTAAAGAACAGTGCTTGAAAAACAAAAAGTAAAGTTAAACCTGTAATACTATACAATAATACAATCATATTAATTTCTCTCTTAAACTCTCTCACGTTATTGCTTTCAGATTTCAGATATTTCACACCTTAAGTTATGTCATTAGATTTAGTCTAGTATGTGTAATAAGAGAGATTGTACTTTATCCTCATAATTTTGCATAACTATGTAAATTAAGCATGAAGTGAGAAGTCTGAACTGATTTTCCTAGCATTTTTAAATTGAAGTGTGTCTGAATTTAGAAGAAATAAAAATTATATCCCTCATATCAAGTGTGTTTCAGATACAATCCACAGATAAGTTTCTTCTGAGCTTTCAGTAGCTGATTTGACACGCTTAACAATCTCAGCAGAAGTGAATGAGGTGTTGTCAGACTGCTGTGAGGTGTTCTAAAGTTTGCCAAGCTTTGATTGATGCAGGTTTGGAACTAGTTACTGTGCTCATAGAGTTTAATCACAACTTAATTAAATTAACCCACCTTACAAGGTGCACTTCAGCAATGTCGCAGTGATCTATTTTTCCGAAATAGGGAAACCACAGTGGCTCTGGTTATCAGCATTACCGTATGGTAATTTAGATCCCCAATCTGAGGCTTTTAAAGAAAATAGACACTGATGTTTTCAAAAGAGACTTTCCTATCCATCATGGTAATGTGTAAATGGATAGTGAATAAAGCAGAAGGTGGGGAATTGTTGACATGTCTTGTGGGAGACTCTCAGACTCTTAAATCTGTCTGAAGGATTAGGAACAGTCTCCCCTTGAGCCTATGTACCGATTCTCAAAGACTTGTTTGCTTTACCTGTGATTTGAGGTCTCCAGCTCCCCAGCATGAGACTTGTTAAAGGAAACATTAAAGTGGATATGCACTCAACTTTTAAAAAACATAGGGAGAAATAAAAAGCTCAAATTGAAGTTCAGTTAAATATGAAGTTACTGATCCTATCCTGTATGTACTAAACTTCTTTCCCTCCGTCAAACAAGGTGGATATAGAAATGTGGAACTTTCATTACATAACATTGTCCTACCCAATCATGGAACAAATAGTCCTCTCCACAATCTTTTATTCTTCTTATTGCTGGACCTCAAATGGGTTCTTCCTTCCAGTGGAGTCCTTCAGACAGACACTTCCTCTAGCTCTGACAGCCTTTTTCCCAGCACTTGCTTTGTTTCTCATTAAGTCACAGCTTTGTGTGGGCCCTTCCAATCTCCAGGCCCAGATCCAAAGGTTCCCAAAAAACTCTTCAGGCCTTAATCCAGGAGAGTATCAGGATCATATATGTCTCTTTGACTACATGAGTTGTCCCACTAAATTCAGCAGACCTACCCTGGTATTTAATTCAGTCTTAGTCTGTCCTTACCCTTACTGCTAATAACTATGTCCCCACAAGCAGCCTGGAACAGAATAAAACAAATCAATTGAATTTCATTTGGCACAACTGATGTTTAAATCAGGTTTTGAACATTTGTACCAGGTTTTTTTTTTCCGGAGGGGGAGGAAGAAGGGGGAGGAGCTTTTTAAAGATTTTGATGTTAACTTTACAAACGGAAAAATGTGTAGAGTTTTTGCTCTCACTTACATTTCCATGGTGGGTTCTGGCTAAGTGTATTTATTATGCAAATAGTGGCATGATTTTTCTAGTAGCTTTCTAGATTGTTACCAGTATTGTATTTGGAATACATTTAAAATAACTGTCATGAATATTCACCAAAACGAATTTATAGTGGGATATATTTTACTCTACTGCTTTCTCATTACAGATGCATATGAAAAGGCTGCTTATCTGTTAGAAACGTTTAATGCAAGTCAGGTGGGTATTGTTAGGAAGATGTTACCATTTTAAAATACTATACCCTGTCTAGCCTGCTAAAAACTTGTGTTAGTTACTCATGAGCCCACAGCTATAATATTACAGGGTTAAAATGAGAGAAAAAAAAGATGTTCTGCCTTCAGACTGACTCTTGGTTATGATCTGTATTTTTAGTAGTTGCAGGAATTCTGTGAATTTTTATTTGAGAAATCAATTAGTTTTGGAGACAAAAGACATAAGAACAGCCATACTGGGTCAGACCAGTGATCCATCTATCCCTGTAGCCTGTCTTCTGATAGTAGCAATACCAGGTATGTCAGAGGGAGCAAATACAACCCAGCAATGATTGAGACATCCATCTTCAGTCATCTGCTCTGATGATCTGGTAGTCAGAGGCTGCTGGACACCCAGGACCTTGCCATATTGGCTAATAGACAATGATGGACCTATCCTCCATGAACTCACCCGATTCTTTTTTGAACCCAGTTATATTTTTTTAGCTTTCACAATATCTCCTGGCAATGAATTTTAAACCTGCTGCCTATTAATTGGGTGACATCTAGTTGCTGAGTTGTGTCAGGGTACATAATATTTCCTTACGGACTTTCTCCATACTCTTCATGGTTTTATAGACCTGTCATATTCTCTCCCTCCCCACCATGCTTAATCATGTCTTTTCCAAGCTAAGCATCCTCAGTCTTGTTAATCCCTCCTTTTATGCAAGTTGTGCCATACCCTTCATCCTTTAGGTGGCCCATCTTTGTACCTTTTCCAAATAGTGCATCTTTGTTTGACACTGAACCACCAAAACAGCACTAACACAGCGTGCAAGTCAAGACGTGGATCGGTCAACTAGGGAAGCCTTTGTCGACCGCTCCTGTAAACCTCGTTTCACGAGGCATAAGGGAGAGGTCGACAAAGGCTTCTCTTGTCAACCAATCCACGTCTTAACTCGCGTGCTGTGCCGACGATCAGCTGAGCCGGCACCGCATGGCGACCATTTTTATTTTAATGAAGCCGGGGATATTTAAATCCCCGCTTCACTGACTATGTCGGGTGGCCTTACCCTCAGTGTTCAAGATGTGGATGTATCATGGCTTTATACAGTGGCATTATGATATTTACTGTTTCGTTATCTATCCCTTTTCTAATTATTCCTAGCGATAGGAATGGTGTTCATAAATTAGTTCTCAGCAAACTCAAACGTAAATGGGAAAATTTTCGTAACTTTGGGTGTTATATCAGAGAGCTTTATAATGGTGGGCTCTAAACCAGAACAGCAGATGTGATTACACTCAGAATTTCAGAGAGAAAGATTGGTTCAGAATCCAACCCCAGATTATGGTTCCTAATTTCACAAATGGTCCCACTCTACACAGACTTGTATCAAAATCTGAGTTCTGAACACTTGTAGTTTTTGGGGGTGGAGAGTAGAAATTAGAATAAGATCAGTTGTTGCATTGAAGTTTTGTGTAATTGCCTTTAACATGCTATATTTGATAGGAATAAATTACAATAAATACATATTTAAGAAGTATTGTGAAGATATTTTAAACCCTCAGTTTTTGACAGTGAAACTATATTTCATAAAATGTATTTGTATAACTTAAACATTTATGTATGCAGAAATCAAAGTAACATGAGGCTAATAGTATCATTTTGCCAGCTGCACTTTCGCTGTCACTTTACCAATCTATTTAAATGAGTACATTATAGCTCATCATCTCATGCATATTTTTAAAAGGAACATGCTGTTAAACACACAAATATCTATATGAGGTACAGAGAAAAGCAAGATGTATTGTAAAGGAACTCATCCAACTTGAAATATAGTCACATTTAAAAAAAAGTTATAGGTGGTATCAAATAATATACCTGCCCCTAAATTCATGTTTTCAGGTAATATGCCCCAATTTTTATTGTTTGCAGCTGTTTATTGTTGTGTTTCATAATATGTGTGCAGATGAGGGAAATGGCTTATGAACTCTTGCATTATCTAAAAGACAAGACAAAATTGCACCTCCAGCCCTGGTCAATACACTAGGGAGTTATTTTGAAATAATCCCCCTTATTTAGAAATAATAAGTGGAGCATCCACACTACTAGGCCCGTTATTTTGAAATAATGGGCTAGTTATTTCAAAATCTGTACTCCTGCTTTCCTTGGGGAATAATGCTTATTTTGAAATTGTTATTTCAAAATAGTGTCTGTGTAGATGCTCCGCTGCTGCTATTTCAAAATAACTACTCCCCAGAGTAATTCAAAGAGCTTCTTGGGATTCTAAGTCAAGGTAACATGTCTACAATAACAGAGCCTACTTGGGACTAATTTCGAGGCTCCTCTGTAGTGGGGACAAGCTATTTCGGTCCATGCATTCAAAATAGCTCTGCTAGCTGCAGCTGTATAGGCTGTGGGATGGGCTAGCTGCTCTAAGTACACAGCTAGCTTTCATACAGGACTCTACTTGGATTGCTAGCTTGTCTTGCTGCCCATGCAGCAATAGCAGCAGCTATGCTGGTACTTTTCACACACTAGCTCAGATCAGAGGTAGCGTCATATATTTAACCTAGCTAGAAATTACACTTCTAACTCCACTGTAGAAACCTTACTGGCATGCAAT